CTTGGACAAGTCTCTCCTCCTGGAGGGTCCCAGGGGAGGGGGCGTCTGAGACCCAGGACAGAGACTCAGGGTGACATCGTCGTAGATTGGCGTTTACATTTGTGCAGCAGCTCTTGTCTTCAGTTAGTGACTTTCTGACTCAGAAAAGGTGTCACTGCCCAAGAGAGGCTCTCCCAGTGTCCCAGGCTCACACTCAGGCACCGCAGTGGGGGTTTCAGGTGGGCCCGGCTGATTGGGAAGGGGTCCCGCTGACCGTGCCGAGACCCGGCAATCCTTCTGGTGATTATAGTAATGATGGCACTGCTCTTAGTGATGTGATTGAAATATTGAATTGTATGTTATGTGAATTATGTGTGTGCTAATAAAACTGTCTTAAACGGGGAAAAACCCCATTTATTTACCCCGTGATCAAATCTTGCCCTCCGGCCTCAGGTCAGGCAGGTCTGATGGGAGCGGGCCCAGCCCTACCCTAGGGGATTTCTGGGACAGCCCTGGTCTTCAGTCTCCTTTCCCATGACCCTGAAAAGAACACTTAGCGTCCACCTGGTCTCTGTGACCTGACAGGTGACCAGACAACGCCACCCTGTGACAGCCGAGTCTCAGAAACAGGGCAAACGTGCCTTCATGCGCCCAGGGGACCTTGTTCTCCAGATGGAACCACCAGATGCACAGGGCGGGGCCCGCCAGTGACATGATCTTCGCCCTCCCTCACACACGCACCCCTTCACTGGATGGTGGACGCAGCGTTTTGTAGGAGAGACTCCTCACGGCTTTGGGTGGGCAAGGGGTCCTTCAACAGAAATAAAGGCCCGACCAGTAGGACGCCGTGATGGGCTGGACTTCCCTGAAAGGCGGGTGTCCTGTTGGTGCGGCCTCCTGGAGAGAGAGGCACCTGGGCAGGCGTGGGAGACAGATGTGTCCTGGAAAGACTCCTCTCAGGATGGAGCCCCAACGCCCACGGGCCCGCGGGAGCAAAGCCGAATGCTGAGCAGAAACGTGGACCAGAGACCCGAGTGACCTTTCACCAGCGAGAAAGTCTGCCTGGCCAGGCCCTGCCTGCTGCCCAGCTGGGCTGCCAGTCAGCTGGGACCCCCTGGCGCTGACAGAGGAGCCTTCAGGCTGTCCCGCCTGTGCCCAGCAGGTGGCGCTGGGCAGCCAGGCAAGGGGGCAGAAGGGCTGTACCTGGCCCCCACTGCACCAAAAATGTCCTAGGAGAGAAGGCAGGACTTGCTAAAGGTCCCCTCCAAGGGGTCTCCCTAGGCAGCCTGGCCTTGGGCGCTGCCCATATGGGGATCAGGAGGAGACAGAGAAGCCAGTAAGGCGCCCCTGTTCTCTGCCCCCAGGAAGGGCTGGAGGCCCTGGCTTGACCCTGGATGTGCTGCCCCCCTGAACCTCTTCCTCCTGGTAAGCCAGTGGAGGTGGGGCTGTGGGGGGCTGGCTCTCACAGGCAGGTCCACTCCCAGCCTAGACTCCTGGGGCCCAGGGGAGGAGCCCGCGCTCTGGGCGGGCCAGCCCCTCCCATTCCAGGAAAGAGAAAGTAGGCAGCCAGTGGAGGCTTGGAGGGGTGGATAGGCTGAGGCCAGCTCCAGCAGAGGCTCTGAGGCCAGTGTCCGGCTCATCCTACGGCCCACTGGGAGGATCACGAAGCTACAAAGGCTGTCCATCCTAGGACACATGAGGTGCTGCTTCTTGGGCTCCTTCCACCAGGACGATGAGAAGAAGGGACGGGCCGGCTATTGGAAGGGCTGCTCAGGGGAACACCAGGGGGCAGCCAGACAGAAGAAGACTGGAAAGAAAGGTCAGGGTCAAGGTTACCACAAAACCAGAGCCCAGCACCCAGGTGAGTCTCCCGACCAAGGGGCCAGTCTAGACTGGGGTTCTTCAGCTAGAGAGGCCAGGGAGTGACCCTTATGCTCCCTCCTGGACCTAAGCTGGACCTTGACCATCCTCATCTGCCTGAGCCTCCAGCTGACCCCACCCTGTGGTCCTCTCTGCAGGGTACGCAGGTCTGATCAGCCAGGGTGCCACCTGCTACCTGAACAGCATCCTGCAGTGTCTCTTCTTCACGCAGGAGCTCCAGGACGCTGTCCGCAGGTGGGGCAGCTGAGGGGAGGGCGGGGCAGGCAAACCGGCTCCGAGGGGAGTGGGCCGGGAGGACCCCTGCTCCTTAAGCAACCCCTGGCATATCTGCCTCAGGGGGCCTCAAAGCAGACCCCAGGAGCCCTGTGTCCTAGTGTTTACCTGTTGGGCTGATCCTAAGCCCACAGTCAGCAGTTTGAAACCACGCGGCAGGGCTTTCTACTCCCTGAGAGTGAGTCTGGGCATTGCCCGGGGCTGCTCCGCCCGGTCCCGCAGGGTCTGTGAGTGGGCACTGACTCCGGGGCAGGGAGTGAGGTGTGGAGCTGAGCGCAGCTGCTGCCTCTAGGTACCAGTGCTTTCTCCAGCTCTGAGAGGGGGAGGCTGGGCCGCTGGGGTGAGTCTGTGCCACCAGGTGGGCTGGACCTCAAAGTGAGAACTGAGAGGAACAGGTCAGTTGGTCTGGCTCCTCCAAACCTCAACTCCCAGCAGGGCTGGCAGATGAGTGGTGGTAGAGGGGGCCCCTCCTCCCTTGCAGGACCCTCCAGCTCTGCTCTGAGACCCCAGGGCCGGCACTCTCCCCGACCCCCTGCTAGAGGAGGCCAGGAGCAGTCCCTGGCTGACTGCAGCTGGGTGGCCTGGTCCCACAGAGGCAGAGGGTGGCAGTGGCCCCGCAGGGCTGAGGAGACAGGCTGGCTGGTGGCCGCCCTGCAGGGGCTCTCAGCCGAGCCTGGCCTTCCTTTCTCTCTCGGGCCCCTGCAGATGCGAGGACCAGGGGGAGTCCAGCCTCGTCACACAGCTGCGCAGGCTCTTTGAGGCCCTGGAGGAGTCCCAGGCACCCGTGTCCACCACCGCCATCACCCGCTGCCTGGGGCTCAGGAATGGTGAGAGCTGACTGGGCAGGACAGGCACCCCAGAGCTGGGGCTGCTGCCCACAGCCCCTGGTCCCTGCCCGGGCTGCCCTCCTCACCACTAGCTCCAGCACTGCCTGTCTGGGCCCGGCATTCCCACCTGTGCCTCACTGGGGAAACCATCCTGGGGAGACTGGGGCAGTGGAGGGGCAAAGGATGGGGGGTTGGGGCAGGGCAGGGTCTCAGCCAGGATCCTCTCCTGTCCCTGTCCCCGATGCACAGTGCACCGCCAGGAGGATGCCCTGCTGTGCTTCCACATGCTGTTGACCAGGATGACTGCTGAGCAGAGGGAGCTGGGGCAGGTGAGGGGCCTGGGAGTGGGGTGGGCTGCAGGGGCTTCCAACGCTCCCCCCACGGCCATGAGCGCCCAGGGCCCCTGGTTTTCCAGCTGAGAAACAGGATCAGGATGCTGGGTCCCTTCCTAGAGGACAGACGTGCAGAAAGGACCCTCTTAGGGTCAGGGAGCTTCAGTGGACCCCCCTGTGAGGGGGTGGGGGGGGTCTCACCTGTTGGTGGAATGGTGGGAGCAGCAGTCTAGGGAAGATCAGATGACAGGCTTGAAGTGGGGCTGCAGCAACACTGGGGGCTCCGGGCAGAGTGGGCGAGCCAGTAGCCGCAGGACAATAGTCACAAAAACAGTTTGGGAGACCACCAGTCAGCCCAGCCACTCCTGGGACATAGCCAGTGGCCCTGCCTGGACAGGGAGCTGGGAGGCAGGCCCGCAGGGCAGCCCTGGGGGAGAGACAGAAGGGACAGGAGGCTCAGAGTCCAGCCCTGGTGGGCAGGGGACATTGCTTAAGGCCAGTTGAGGAGGTCCCTTTCAGATGTGGGCAAGGGCCTCATGGGGGCACTTGGAGGAGGGATGAGTGAGCTGCTGTCACAATGATGGGGGACAGGACCCAGAGACCCTCTGATCTGGTCTCCCGTGCCCTGGTCCCACGGGATGTCTGCTGGGGCTGCAGGCTCAGAGCATGGGGGTGGGCAGCCCTGTGGGCAGGGCCCTAGGTTGTGTGAGCATCAGAAAACCCTCAGGAACTGGAGACAGTGCCCCCTCCCTGTGGCCCTGCACTCACGTTGTGGCCACATTGTCCTGCTGCCCTCGCTGAGTGGACACTCCGTCACAGCTGTTCCAGATGACCCTGGAGCAAGTCACCCAGTGCCAGCGCTGTGAGACCAAGACGGGGCTGGAGGAAGCCCGGCTCTTCCTCGTGGTGCCTGTCCCGCAGGGACCCGCAGGCACCCCGTGCTCCATGGTAAGGGCTGCCCCACCGCTCCTGCCCTGCCTCACACATCCCACCTGCCAGGACAATGCTTGTCCCAGGCGTCCCAGCCTGGTGTCCCTGCTGCCACAGGCAGAGGTCACCTGAAGAAACACAGCCCCGCTGTGGCACCCCATGAGCAGCCTCAGCTGGGCCTTTGGCTTCTGCTCAGGGGCCTCTTGGGTCCCTTCCGCCTGCTAGAGCTGTCCTCTGGTCCCCAGGACAAGGCTGTGAAGGGGCTGTTCCAGAAGCAGTGGTTCACGGGGGACAACCAGTACTTCTGTGACGAGTGTGACCGTAAAGAGGACTCCTGCTCGGTGAGTGCTGCTGGTCCCAGTCAGAGCAGGACCCAGCCGGGCTGACTCACAGTTGGAGGCAGGGGCACACGTGTGCCTGCACTGTCTGACTGGGACCCCAGGGGGAGCAGTCATCACCTGGGCAGGCCCTGCTAGGAGCTGGCCGAGCACGACCATAGGGCAGCTCAGGCTCAGCCCTGGTCCTCATTCCTGGGTGTCCCCTCTAAAGGGGCAGCAGCTGGCAGTGGCTCCTGGGCCCTTGCTTAGCCTGGC